GTTCTGTTGCTCTGCAGCACATCTGAGCAGTTCTGGAGTGTTCTCCCTTGAAACACGGTTTGTGTTTGGAAACTGTCCCTGGTAAAAATGAAGTTCTGGGGTTTAGGACCCCCCAGTGTGTGCTCTGTGTGTGGTAAAGGCATTGAAATGGGTTTTGGAGGAGTTGTAGGGCAGCAGCAGTGATGCTCTCCCTGCCTTGGGGAGTCCCATGTGGGGACTGTGCCTGTTTCACCCATCCTTGGGGGTCTCTGTTTGGGTTTGGCACCCTCAAACCTTGATCTCCAGCATGTACCAAGCCAGGGCAGCCTTTCCATGGGCTCTAGTGCACGAACATGAGGGCAGAGGCTGCTGCTGGAGGTGGGGCGGTCTCTGCTCATCTGGTTTCATGTATTTACTTGAGTGATGAATCAGAGGGAACCTGCCCGCAGCTGCAGTCCTGTCCTAAACCACTGCTGAGCTCCAAGTGCCTGCTGGAGGAGTTATTTAATAACTGAATCACTGCTAATGAGGTAAGAAAGCAGCCTGGGGATGGAGCTGGGTGCAGAGCATCGTGGCAGCGAGTGGGGCTATTGCTGACCTGCGCTGGGAGGCACAGAGGGAGGATCCAAACCTTTTGGAACCAGTGAAGCATTTACCAACACTGCCCTGACGCTGCGTGCTGACCCCAGCAGTGCATGGGCTGGGTCTGTATCAGGGCTACATTGAGATGCTGGCGGCTGCAATGCTGATTTCCAGGCATGAGCTGCTTGTTGCTGGATCCCTGCAGGAGCTGTGGGGACGTGGTGCAGTCAGAGCATCCCATCCTCTGCAGCCTGGTGTGCTGCTTGCATGCATCTGTGGGCCAGATCCAGCACTGACCTTTCCCAGCCTCTATCCCTGGGCATCCATGAGCACTGGGACATGTTGCATGACCCCACTGCTGTGCCCACAGCCCTGTCTCACTGGGTGGCTGCTGGCGATGGGTGCTGGCTGTGGCGCAGACACCATATTGCTGCTTTCTAAGCACCCTTGGCAGGCCATAATCCGCCTGTTTTGGTGCTGATTAGAGCGGCTGTTCCCTGGATTACCGGTCCTGGCTGGCTCCTGCCCACCACAGGGTGCTCAGTGTGACTGCTGCAGTGGTGTGGGGCTGTGGAGGTGCTGCTGGGGTGACTGAGTGGGATGTGCCGTGTTCTGCTGTGTCTGCAGCCACTGATGACCCCAGAGCTGCCTAAAGGGGCTGCAAGAAAGCACAGAGAAGCTGTGGCTGCCCCATCCCTGGCAGTGCTCAAGGCCAGGTTGGACACAGGGGCTTGGAGCAAGCTGCTCCAGTGGAAGGGGTCCCTGCCCGTGGCAGGGGTTGGAGCTGGGGGAGCTTTAAGGTCCCTTCAACACAAACCAGGCTGGTGTTCTGTGGGGGCTGGAGGCAGATGGACCATGGTGTAGACGCAGGTTTGTTTTGAGAAGCTTTAAGGAACTTGTCCAACCCACAGTGGGGGGGAGCTGGTGGCTTCTGTCCTCATGGGTGGCAGTGGGAGTGTGGTCACCTCCCCAGTGAGGGGCTGTTGGCGCTGCGGGCTGGTGACAAGGCAATGCCACCATGGGCAGCCCAGAGCGAGGGGTCTGCAGCTCCTGCCCTGCCAGGGATGGGACCCAGGACCCTCCATCCCTCTCCCGAGCCTGCTGCTCCCTGCGTTCCCTGCTGCAGGGGAAGGAAGGGGCAGGAGTCTCGGTTCCTGTTGTCCCATTGAGCATTAAATATAGGCTGTTAAGCAATTTTCTTTGCAGGAAGTGTAGAAATACCGCGCTGTGTGAGCACAACCCCGACTCACACCAAGAGTGCTGGAACTTGCCTTGCAGCGTGCAGCCGGCCTCATCAGCATCCTCTGCCTTCCCCCTTTGCAGCAGCATTAACCCTTCGCTCCTGGCCTCCTCAGTGGGTTTGTCTTTAACACAAACTGTCTGCAGCACCCTGGCAGAGCGGTTTTTGCTTTTCCCAGCTTAAATGGTGGAGAGTCAGCTTTGGGGACAGCCCTGCTCTCTGAGCCACCAGTGCAGCCTTTTCCCTGGCCAACCTGGGCTTTGGAACGCTCTCTGGCAGGGAGCAGGGCCAGGCAGGAGGGGACATCAACTGAGGTCTCATTTTGGTGTGTTGTGGTTCCCCTCTGTGTCCTGTGTTTGCGTTTTCCACTTGTCCATCCCAGCCAGGAAGAGCACACACGTGGAGGAGCTGCAATCTCCTCTCACCCCCTTATGAATTCTGATGTAAGGGGACAGCTCCTGCTGTAGGTCTGCCCAGGCTTTCCGGTTCCAGTGCACTTTGTCTCTGTGCTCCTTCTGGGAAAGCCTGGAAGTGTTTTAAACACTGCGCACGAAGAAGGGATCGTAGGGATGTTGTACAGAGGTGGGATGTCCTGGTGAGGAGCAACCGTAGGGGAAGAACTAGAAGCTGGTGACCAGGAAAGAGCAGCTCGAGGCAGGGCTGTGGTGCGAGGGGTTCCCCCAGTGTGGCTGAAGCTCCATGTGCCGGGTCTCCCAAACCAGGGATGGGCTAGATCCCCTTGGTGCTGTACGTGTGGAGGAGGGTTGAGATACCACGACATCTTTCTTCTATAAATGGCCTTTTTCAGTAGTTCCAGATTTCTTTGGAAGGGGCTTTTTATGTTCAAACCCAACCACTTCAGTCTCATTGCAGGAGCAGCAGCCGCTTCCCAGAAGGATTTAACTCTCAGTAGCTGAGGAGGAGGAGGAGGGACATGGGGGTGATCCGGGAGGATGCACAGTGGGAGAGGCAGGCTGAGCCCTGAGCCAGGCGGGAGGGAGGAGGGATAGGCAGAGGGGTCAGCGGAGGTGAGGATGAGGAGGACTGCGGTAGCAGTCAGGCAGCAGAGAGGAAAGGAATGGTCATGGATGGGGGCCGTGGGGCAGGATGGTCCCGTGCTGGAGCTGCCAGGAGGGCAGGCTCTGGGGCAGCACAGGTAGCAGGGCCACCCTCCAGAGGAGGGTCCAGGGAGGGGGTTACTCGTGCTCGAGAGGAAGCAGAAGTTTCTGTCGGGCTCGGTGGGGTTTTGGGTTTGCCCCTCCGTGATGCTGGGGATGAAGCAGGCTCAGGAGCTGAGGGGCATGGATGGGCCGTGCTGCTTCCCCATGTGCCCTGCATACGGTGCAGGAGCTTCGGCTGCTTCCACTGCAGGGGTTTTGTCCTAAATCATAGACAAGAGGTTCAAGCTTTTAGGATGGGATGGTGGGAATAACCGTGGCACAGGGAGGGCAATGGGGCCTCCTTGTTTGCCCCCAGAGGTACGGGTGCCCCTCGCTCCTTTTCTCACTGAGCCTGCTGTTAAATTTAGCATCCACTTTGTCCCTGCAGCTTGGCTGTGTCGCTCAGCGAGTGGCTGGTAGCGATGCTCCCTTATCGCTGTCGCACCAGGAGTTATCTCCTTCTCCCCCTGCCTCTCCCTTGCCTATTTATAAGCACCATGGGCCATGGCTGTTGGGTGCTGCCACCTCTAAAGGCTCCTCAGCTTCATCCCTGTGCCTGCTCCCTGGGGCTCCCCAGCCTCCTCCTGGCTCTCCTCAAGGAAGCACAGCCCTGGCTGTATGGAACATGGGCAGGGCATTGCTGGGTCCACAGTGTGTGGTGGGGAGAGCGTGGCTGGGGCTGATGGGCAGCACCGAGCTGGAGGAGAGGAAACGGCTCCTTAAGTCATGAACGTCATCCTTGTTATTACTGTGGAGGAGCAGGAGGCTGCTGGCTCTGGGGACCGGGTTCAGGTCCCTGAGCCCTCCGGCTGCCCCGGCGAGCAAAGGGGCTGCTCTGCTGCAGCAGCAACAGCACAGGAGAGTGGGGACTCTGCCCATGGGTGCTGTCAGCCGGACCCTTCCCCTTGTGTCCTGGTGTACCCGAGACCTGCTAGGGGCTGTCCTGGTGCCTCTGGTGCCCTTGGCCTGCTTTACACCATTGGTGCTGGAGCAAACCCTACCTGTCCTGTGAGTCCCTCTTTTAAACACTAGCAGGAGCATCCTGGAAAGCTGCCCCAAACCCCACAGGGCCTGCTCCTGTTGCTGCAGGTGGAGGCTGTGAAAGTGCTCTGCGCATGGGTCCCCATGGCCATGGCCCCTTCGAGAAGCCTCTGCTCTGCTTTTCCACTGGGAAAGCTCCCAGTGCTTTCCCCCTCCCTGCCAGGTTTGCTGGGTGGGTTCCTGCTGCCTTAGGAAGCAGTGGCGTGAAGGCAGCGGGATTGAGCTGTGGGCAGGATTAGCTCTGGAGCTTTAAGCAGAGACACTCTGAGAACAGCTTTAAAGCTTGGAAAAAGCTTATCCCATGGGAAAAGCAAAACCCCTTGATTTCTTCTGCGGTTGGCTGTTGGTGTCCAAGAGGAGGAAAGGGGCTTTGCTTTGTGTGCACGCATGTGTTTTCTGCCTGTGCTTGGGGAGGGGAAAGAGAAACGCTGAGTTTTTTGACTCTGGGGAAAGAAATGCACAGGGGGATGAGCACTGCATCTACTACTGCAGTCCCTTGTGTTGCTCCAGTTCATGGTCCTCTCCCAACCTGTGGCCTTGCAGTGCCCAGGATCATGCACCTGCATGTGCAGGGTTATGGGGTCAGCCTGAAAAGCCAGTCCTGGATCCGCTCAGGTCGCTGCAAGTAAGAACTTAATAGGCTTCAGGTCTCAGAGGGTATCTGCAGCTTGGAAAGCAATAAACCTCTGCGTTACCAGCCGTGCGTAGGGTCTGCCTTCAGCAGGGCTGGATGCCTTCAGCATCACTGCCACTGCCCCATGGCTCTGGGCTTCAGCTCCCGCATGGTTCTCATGGTGCTCTGAGGTTTCAACTCCTGTGGTGGGAGCCCCACAGAGCCCTGCCACTGGGGTGGGTGCAGGAGAAGGGCAGTGCTCTCAGGGCTTACCTGGTGATGGGTGCCTCCGTGGGGACTCGTGGCTGGGATTACTGCCCGCCTGCATCGTGCTCTTGGTGGGCTCTTTCCTCTCCTAACGTGCTTCCTCTCCTGCTCCCTGCAGACCTGTCGGCAGCCAAGCGCAAGTTCGCTGACTCCCTCAACGAGTTTAAGTTCCGCTGCATCGGTGATGCTGAGACGGACGATGAGATCTGCATAGGTGAGTGCTGGGGCTGGTGCCACCGGGGCACTGAGGCTCCAGAGCCCTGAGCTGAGCAGGGCGTGGGGAAAAACTAGTGGAAGGTGTCCATACCCATGGCAGGGGCTGGACCTAGGTGAGCTTTAAGGTCCCTTCTAACCCAAACCAGTCTGGGATTCTCTTATTTCTCCTGATGTAACATCAACAAAACCTTCCTAAGGAAATCAGTTGTCACTTCGTGGCCTAAATCTATCCCTGCCAAATAGGAGAGCAAGAAGATTGCCTGTATCTGAATCCATCTAGATTATCCATCCCTTTTGCACTGGAGGGCAGGGATCTTGGGACGTGGTTGTGGCTAAATGCACTGTGAAAGGCTGTGATGTGAAGGAGAGGAGCAGCAGCCTCACTGGTGGCTGCAGCAGCACAGGACCCATCAGGAGCCAGCAGCACAAAGCCTGACTCCCCATAGAGCTTCTCATGGTGCAGGGTGGCAGCTTCAGCTGCTTGGCTCCGTGTTATCCCACTTCTGCCTCAGCTGAACTTTCAGAGCTTACTGTGCACATCATCTGGAGCCTGGAGAGCAAATGAGCTTTAGCCCTGATTTAATGTTGCTTGTTTATTTGTGCCCAGTCTCTCAGCAAAAATAGCATCCCCTGCTGCGATGCACACTGGTGAGCTACCCCTTGTGTGCTGAGCACGATGAGGTCAGTGCTGAGCCATAGGGCTGTTTGGTGACTGGCTGTTGGGTAGGGCAGGTTTGAGGTGAAGGTGCAGTGTTCCTTGCTGGAGCAGGGAACATGGTGCTGAGGGTGCTTCCCGACGAGCAGCTTCTGTAGGAAGCCTTTCTAGGGGGAGAGCAATGGCGATAAAACCCCTCGACCAACCAACCCTTCAGAACACAAACCCACCCCCATGTTCAGTCCCTCTCTAATGTAAAACATTAAACCCTGACTGTGCTGGTGTGTCCCTTGCAGCCAAGTCTCTGCAGGAGTTTGCCACGGTGCTGCGGAACCTGGAGGACGAGCGGATGCGCATGGTACGGGCATGGGGCGGGTGGTGGCACTGGAGCACTGCGCCTGTGAGCCCGGGGGGGAGAGCAGAGGGAGGGAAGGGTGAACTTGGTGGGGGAACACTTGAAGAGCATCAGTGTCTGGCTGAGGGGTGATGTTCAGTGCTGGGGTGAGGAGTGGGGTTGGTACAAGCTCCCCTGCCTCCCTCAGCGGGGCTGCAGTGGGGTTTGTGTGGGGCAGGCTGTGGAGCCACACAGATGTGTGGGGCTGGGCAGTGCTGGCGGCTGAGCTGTGCCTGTCTGTGCCCCCAGATCGAGAACGCCAGCGAGGTGCTGATCACGCCGCTGGAGAAGTTCCGCAAGGAGCAGATCGGGGCTGCCAAGGTGAGCTGCTCCTGCTGCACCGGCTGCTGCCTGCGGGGACAGAGCCCAGGGCTGCTCGCGATGGCCATGGGGGTGCCCAGGCCCTGGTGCACTGCGGGGTGCTGGGCACAGGCACTGTAGGAGATGGCTCACTGCTGCAGGATGGACATGGCAATGATCCTTGGATGTTGCCTTCTTGGATCCTTCCACTCCTTGGAAAGTGCCTCAGTGTTCCAAGTTCACCACAACCAAGTACATGCCAAGGGCCAGGAATCACTTGCCGGTCAAAGTAAAGTGATTTTCCTTACTCCAAGCAAGAATTAGCATTTTCTTAGTGGGGTTCCAGTCGCCTGAGCCCCCCTGCTCTGTGCTCCCCACCCTGGGACCGTCACTGAGCAGCTACACAGGGATTCGGGTGGCTTCTGGCAGGATGGGTGAGCCCGGGGTGGCTGTGAGACAGCCCGGCCCCCCCTTGCTTTCCTGCCTTTGTTCTGGAATCCAACCCCTGTCTGCGGCTCTCCTGTTGTTATAACAACCTGCTGCTGCCTGCAGGAAGCACATGCCAGCCCATGGGGCTGCGTTCGCATGGCAGCGCTGTGCTGGCTCGGGGGCAACCCTGCACAACCAGGCTGTCCTGGTTCACCCAGCTGGCAATGAGGACACAAAGGGGTCAGTCAGAAAGGAGCTGGTTGTTAGCAGGTGTCAGAGGTGGGTTTCATACCAACCGATGCTGTGGGGATGCTCATGGCTCCCTGAGGTTGTGTTCACCATCACACTTCTTGTTCTGTTTTGTAGGATGCCAAAAAGAAATATGACAAGGAGACCGAGAAGTATTGTGGCGTCCTAGAAAAGCACCTAAACTTGTCTTCTAAGAAGAAGGAATCCCAGCTACAAGAGGTGAGAGCAACCTCTGGTTTTCCATGGCTACCTGTAACTGGGGTGAGCTTTTTGGATGCTTTACACAGCTCGTAGCATTGGTTCTCCTGGCTGTAAACTCATTTTCCCCTCATTCTGGCTGCAAGTGGTGGGTTTTCTCCTCTGCCTGTAATCAAAGGGGTCAAAGATGTTTTGGTGAGTGGATCAGAGAGATCCCAGAATAAATAGCAGTCATAAAGGAGAAAGAATATTTAATTATAGAGTGTGACAGAAAGGAACTGGTTCTGCTGCAGGCTTCCCTTGTGCCAGCACAGATCATGGATGTCTGGCTTCCTTCTCTGAAAGTGGCTGCACTGGCTTTGGGCTTCCTGGGGGGAGTGATCAGGCTTAGTGCCTTTAAACTGCTTTGGGAGCCTATTACTGACTTGGGACGTAGTCAGCTGCTGTGCCAAATGCCCTTACTGGATGAGAATGCTGAGCTCTCTATCACTTCTTCCAAGTTAGGAATTCCTTGCCTTGGCCCAGAGATGGGTTGGTCCCTGCAGGATGCCCTTGGGGTGGGAGCCCCATGCAGCAGGGCAGTAGGATGCGGTGCAGATGCAGGCAGTGGCTGGGTGCAGGATGCTGTGCGGGATGCTGGCAGTGGCTGGGTGCAGGATGCAGTGCAGGTGCAGGCAGTGACTGGGTGCAGGATGCAGTGCAAGTGCAGGCAGTGGCTGGGTGCTCGATGCAGTGCGGGATGCAGTGCAGGATGCTGTGCAGGTGCAGGCAGTGGCTGGGTGCAGGATGCAGTGCAGGATGCTGTGCAGGATGCTGTGCAGGATGCAGTGCAGGTGCAGGCAGTGGCTGGGTGCAGGATGCAGTGCGGGATGCAGTGCAGGATGCTGTGCGGGATGCAGTGTAGGTGCAGGCAGTGGCTGGGTGCAGGATGCAGTGCGGGATGCAGTGCAGGATGCTGTGCGGGATGCAGTGCAGGTGCAGGCAGTGGCTGGGTGCAGGATGCAGTGCGGGATGCAGTGCAGGATGCTGTGCGGGATGCTGGTAGTAGCTGGGTGCTGCTGCGGCTGGCTCAGGCTGAGCAGCGCTGGCGGCTGGTGCCACCTGCCGGCACTTTCCACCCCGACAACGATTCGGTGTTGCCTGGAGGCAGCGGGAGGCTGGAGCCTGCCCCCAGGCTCAGGTGCTGGGGCGGCTTCCCCTGGTTTTGGTGGCTCAGACCCCTCCGAGGAGGGCGCTGCCTCTGAAGGAGAGCCCAGCATGAAGGATGTGAAACCTGGATGTGGCATCCAGCAGCATGTGGCAGTGCTGGCCCCATCCAGCACCTCCCTGGGGCGGCTGCCCTGTCCCTGCCTGCCAAGGGTTTCCATAGATGTGTGTGTGGAAGAGCTGCCGATGGGATGGCAGTGTTTTAGGGAAGCCAGCACCACTCATTAAGGAACAGCCCAAGCATCAGTAGAAGGGCTCATGTCCTAAGAGTCTGTGTCTGGGAAATGTGGTGTTTTCTGTTTCCTAACCTCTTGCTGTCCACATCTGGAGGGTGATAGTGGCCACACGTGCAACTGCTGCGATGAGGCAGGGAGAGGAGGCAGCCCTGGGAATTCTCTGCTGCTTTGGCTGTTGTCCAGTTCAATAACACACAGGGTCGGATCTGCTGCTTAACTCCTGGCCAAGTTATTCGATTGCATCATATCTTCTCCTTTTCAGAGCTCAGCCTGCTGAGTACCTCAGCCTGTGCGCTGTGGGCGCGCAGCATGACTGCAGGGGCAGGGCATGGGGAAAACGGGCCTTTTCCCGGCTGTGTCGTGTGGAAAACTGGGAATAAGCCACTGCGCAAATGGCAGTGGGTGCTTGCAGCTGGGTTGTGCAGAGCAGGGGTCACCCTGGGATGCTCTATGCAGCATCACTTGCAAGTGTAGCAGCAAGGTGTGCTGGTGATACCTGTGTCCCACACCCGCTTCCACTGCAGCAGCTCCATGCTGTGAGCGTGATGAGATTGTTTTTACACGCTGGGATTAGGGCATATCCCTGGTTTTGCTCATTGGGCTTTAGCTTCAAAGCAGAGGGGATTTGCTGTCTGCTGACACACTTGCTGGATAGAGCGGTGGGGCACATGCACCCTCCCAGTTTGGCCCCAGAATGCATCTCCTGTTGTGGTGCTTTCCAGAAAGCAGAGAATTGCCTCTTTTTGTCAAGTGTGCAACAACTTGTTGTTTTCCTCACTTCTGGTGCGTGTTTTTCTACCCAGCTGCCAGGGAGGTGAGAACGTGAGTCACCAAAAACGTTTTCTTTCAGCTGAAGCAAGAGCCTGCTCGTGTGAATCAGGTTTATATTTAATCGCTGAGCCATCTGTCCAGCCCTGGATTGGGGTCTGGAGCGGAACTGGTTCTGCATGGACACGTTCCCATCAGAGCCAGATGCTCTCTAGTCGCAAGGCCAAGTGCTCCTGGTGGTGACTCTGTGTTCCCTCTGTCACTCCCCCGCGCCCGCAGGCAGACAGCCAGGTGGACCTGGTGCGGCAGCATTTCTATGAGGTCTCCCTGGAGTACGTGTTCAAGGTGCAGGAGGTGCAGGAGAGGAAGATGTTTGAGTTCGTGGAACCTGTAAGTGAGCGCTCACACAGCCTCAGCCTGCACATGAGGGAGGGCAGGGGCTCATGGGGGGCACCCCTGCGGTGGGATGGGTGCGGGGCTCCAGCCCCTCTCTCAGAGGGAGGTTTGGGGGAGGAAGTGCCCAGGTGAGCCCCCAGCACATGGAGCTGTGAGCTCGGTGGCCATGGGCATGGAAGCGTTGCAGATCGCTGTTGTGGGGAGCTGGACCTGGGGGCCTCTGGCAATGAAAGTAGATTTGCCTGACGGGGAAGAAAAGAGACAGCTGTAACTGACATTCTGGGGGGGGGAAAGAGTGCAGGAGTGACAGAAATAGGGGTAAAAACGTTTTCCAAGATCTACCTTTGCTCAGGTGTTGTGTTCTCTAAAACACCTTGGGGAAGTGCCAAATCTCCCAGCTCTTGCAGAGGTAATTCAGCCTGGAGAAGAGAAGGCTGCATGGAGACCTCAGAGCAGCCTTACAATATCTGAAGGGGGCCTATAGGGATGCTGGGGATGGACTCTTCATTAGGGACTGTAGTGGTAGGACAACGGGTAATGGGTTAAAACTGAAACAGGGGAAGTTTAGGTTGGATATAAGGAGGAAATTCTTTCCTGTGAGGGTGCTGAGGCACTGGAATGGGTTGCCCAGGGAGGTTGTGAATGCTCCATCCCTGGCAGTGTTCAAGGCCAGGTTGGAGAGAGCCTTGGGTGTCATCGTTTAGAGCGAGGTGTCCCTGGCCATGGCAGGGGGGTTGGAACTGGATGATCTTAAGGTCCTTTCTAACCCAAACCATTCTATGATTCTATGATTCCAATTCCTGCTGAGAGCAGATTAACTCAGTGCTGCGAGAGGTGCAGTGCAGGGGATGGCATCATGATGCCTGCTTTGCTCAGTGCCTTCCAGCTCTGCTGTCAGTGACCATGGGGCTGGGGTGATACAGGGAAAGGAGACAGAGGTGGGCAGGGGCTTGACGTGGCTCTGGGGGAAGGAAGCACAGACTTGGCTTTGGGGTCTGCTCAGAGGAGGGTTTGGAAGTGAAACAAGGAGCAGGGCATCCTCCTCAGGGCTGCCAGCAGGTCCCTCTGCCTTGGGAGCTGCCGGGATGCTGCCCTCGGCAGCGGGGGCTCTGGAAGCAGCTCTGGGTCTGTACTGACCGTCTCGATCCGTTTTACCCCAACACAGCTGCTGGCCTTTCTGCAGGGGCTCTTCACCTTCTACCACCACGGCTACGAGCTTGCAAAGGACTTCAGTGACTTCAAGACAGAGCTGACAATCAGCATCCAGAACGTAAGTGTGCCCTGTGCCCGTGCACTGCGTGCCCTGTGCCGGTGCCACTGCACTGCGTGCTCAGCGCCGGGACTGCCCTGCAGAGATGTTGATATAGTTTACCAGAGGTTTTACTCTCCTTTTCCTGTGTGCCACCAAGCAAAGGCTTTGACTGCACTGATGAAAGCAAAGTGGCTTTTGTGCATAACACTACATGTATACACAGCCTTGTTCCCTATGGCACTCCAGATGCGAGGCCCAGCCCCCTGGGAGCCAGCCAGCAGGTAGGCATCGTGCCCTGTGATTTTAGTGTTTCAGGCTGTTCTACAAGTGTCTCAAAGCGCTGTTCCTTCTGGGAAGTGCCGTGCTTTTTGCCATCCCAGTCTCCAGGCTGTGGAGCGGAGCCATGGCCAGTGCATGGTTGGTGCCTGCACATTGGATGCTGTTCAGGGCTTTGGAATGTTTCCCTGCCCATGGCAGGGGTTGGAACTGGATGAGCTTTAAGGTTCCTTCCAACCCAAACCATTCCATGATTCTCTGTTGGCATCGCACCTTCGCTTTCCTCTCTGGTTATGGAATTACTCTTTTTCTCCCAAGGACGCAGACTGGTTTCATTCTTTTGAAACAAGTTCTTCACAAAACTCCTGACTCAAACAAGTTCCAGTTGTTGCAGTGCTTTTCTTTTCACTTAAATCCAGGCCCAGGAAGAAAACCCGTCCTATAGCTGCCAATGGGCTCCCCATGTCCCATTGCCCGCAGGGCTGCAGTGACCCCGCTCTGGGTTCCCTCACTGCAGTAGACATTCCTGTTTTCGTTCGCAGACAAGAAACCGTTTTGAAGGAACAAGGTCGGAGGTTGAATCTTTGATGAAGAAGATGAAGGAGAACCCCCACGAGCACAAAAACATCAGCCCCTACACGATGGAAGGTTACCTCTACGTGCAGGAGAAACGTAGGTGCCAGGGTGGTGGATGCTGCCAGGGCAATGTGGGGAAGGGGGTTTATTGGGTGTGGGGCATGAAGACTGATTGAGCAGGCTACAGAATCCATGAGGGATTGGTCCAGTGGGTGGGATATTAAGGTGGGAATGTGGGAGCCAGGCTCTCCCTGAGAGGGAGAATCACTGCCAGTGCCTGGGGAGAGTCTTTCCCCTGCACAGAGTGGGGTAACGATGCTTAATCCACTTGTGAAGTCCAGCAAGAACCACAGGTGCAGAAACCTGTCATGTGAAGTGACTGTTAAATGTAACTGAATAGGAGGGCAGTGAAGCTGTCCCAGTTCTGGGAACAACAACTGCGTTTGCTCTGTAGGTCACTTTGGGACGTCCTGGGTGAAGCATTACTGCACGTACCAGAGGGAATCGAAGCGGATCACGATGGTGCCGTTTGACCAGAAATCCGGAGGGAAAGGGGTGAGTGCTGGGAGGCAGCAGGGCTGTGTCTGGGGGTACGGGGCTGCCCTGGGGCTCCCATGGAATGTTGTCAGCAGGGTGACACAAGTGCAGGTCAAGGGGGTCAGGGTCATTTGAGGCTGAGTGGGTGCCGCATGGGGAGTTAATTCTGCGCCTTGTTTCAACCCCAAACCAAGCCCCAAGAGAACAGCAAACGCGAGCTCACAGAGCTGCTGCCTGCACACAGCTGTTTGTAGGGACAAGGCTGCAGCAGCTGCCTCCAGGCTGAGCATGAGCCTTTTCCCTCTTCTTTACAGGTCAGTCCCCTGAGGCTGTGGCAGTTCCCATGGGTGGAGGTGGTGGCTGGGGCTGGGAGCACAGTGGGGCTGTGCCATGTGCACCCACCTTGCTCCAGCTCCAAGGATGCTTGCTCCCATGTCCCTGGTTCTTGCTCCACATCCTGGAGAAGAGAACTTGCTCCTTATTTTGCACCTTCCCCAAAGGCTGTGACTTGGCCAATGAAGTTGTTTTGGTTTAGACAGAGCCACAGGAGCTCCCCTCAGCCCCAAGGGGGTGAGGAGGAGCAGGGGGAGCAGTGATGTGGTGATGGGGAGGCTCAGTGCGGACCGTGTGTCCTGCTGCTCCCAGGGCAGTGTAATCCCGGCTGTGGCCAGGGCTGGCTTTGCTCCTCTGCACAGCACAACAGAACCCCCAGAGTGTCTCCAACCAGTGCCGTTTGCAAGCATCATCCCTTGCAGAGGAGCACCTTGGGCAGTGGGAGAGGCTGCTTCCTGCTGGCAAAGAGACCCGACTGAGGGGGGGCAGCTTCCAAAACTCATTTCCTCTTGCCCTGGAGCATCTTCATTATAACCCAGCATTCAGATACCCCAGCCCTGTAATCACCAGCGGCTGCACTGTATTTTGTGTGGTTTCGTCCCATTTCACTGCCTCTCCTTGCACCCTGGGGTGCTGCTGGCACAAAATTGAGATAGTGAGATGCTGGTGCAGGGGCTGGAACACAAGTGTGGTGGGGAAGGGCTGAGGGACCTGGGGGGTTCAGACGGAGAAGGGAAGGCTCAGGGTGAACCTGATGGCTCCCTCCAACTGCCTCACAGGAGGATGGAGCCAGGAGGGGCTGGGCTCTGCTCCCAAGGAACAAGGGATGGGACAAGAGGAAACATCCTAAGCTGTGCTAAAGGAGGTTTACATGGAGCTGAGGAACAATTTCTTCCCTGGAAAGGTTGTTAGCCATTGGAACAGGCTGCCCAGGGCAGTGCTGGAGTCACCATCCCTGGGGGTGTTTAAAAGGTGTGTAGATGTGGCAGCTGGGGACATGGGTTAGTGGTGGCCTTGGCAGCGCCAGGTTAATGGTTGGACTTGATGCTCTTAAGGGTAATTTCCAACCTAATCGATTCTGTGATTCTGAATATGTTTCCTGGAAAAGTGGTGATGTGAGGGAACAAGGTGCTCAGGCAGGGTGTCAGCAGGAGCAGCACCGAGCGCACACAAGTGGTTGTCTCCAGGAACTCGCTCAGAATTCATCTGCCATTGAACCATCAGCGCGTTTTAAAACCCGCAGGAGCAGAACTGCCTGTGCTGGCAGGGCCTGAGCAGGGATTTCCTCCAGCAGAGGACAGCAGTGCACGCAGATCCTGCCGGATCGCTGCTCCGCAGCGCGGCTTGGATGCAGATGCCTGCATGGGAGAATGGTTTTGGTTGTTGTGTTGTTATTTAATCAACATTTTAAGGCGTGTTTGCTCCCGTTAGGAGTTCTTGTTTGCAGAACGCTGCCAAAAATGCAGCCCGGAGTGAAGGCTGACAGCCAGGTCCAGGAGGCATTGCTCAGCAATGGAAAATAAAGCTGACTTTGCTGCCCAAAAGTTGTGGTTCAACGCTCCCTGCCTGCCCAAACGTGCATCACGTGGTGCTTGACACAGAAATGTGATCGTGTGTGCTCTGAAAAGAAGGTTCCTCATGAAAGGTCTTGGACTAAATGTGTTTTCAAAGGTGAAAAGACAAGCCCTCGTGTCACATCTATAAATCTGTGTTTCTAACAGGCTGATATTGCCAAATCCCCCCAGGTTTGACCGTGGTCATTGAAAGCTCAGCGGGTGCTGGGGACGGGCACATGGGTGGCTGTTTGTTCTGAGCCTGAGCAGGGATTTTGTCTCCTCAGGGGGAAGATGAAGCTGTTATCCTCAAATCCTGCACACGGAGGAAAACCGACTCCATCGAGAAGAGGTTTTGCTTTGATGTGGAAGCTGTGGATCGGTGAGTGCTGAGGGGGATCAGCAAAGGGATGCGCACGGGGTTAGGATGCACTCCTCTGTGCTTGCTTTTCCTGAGTTCTTGTGCAGTTCCCATGTTTCTCTTCTCCTTTAGTCATACCCTCGTGAATGGAAAGCATTAGTCCATGGAAACTCTTCCAGCCAGGTGCTCTCAGTACATTGAGTGAGCGCTCTGGTTTACAAGGTGCTGAGTTTACTCAAGTCTCTCTAACGTTAATGGTTTTTAGCACTTGGCCAGTCTCTGGCTGCATAAAGTAAATGGTTGCAAGTATGGAAAAGATGCTCCGTGGGTGTTTTGGCTGGGATATGACACCTCTTTCCAGCGTATGTGTTGGAATAGCTTCAGCTTTTGTGCTACAGAGTGGCTGTGGCTGGATAGTGGATACTGGAAGTCTGGCTTGTGCCTCTGGGTACTTTAAATTCAATTCTTTTTCCTGAAGGAGTAAAATGCTTTCCGATGGGATTTATCACGTAGCATCTGAATCAGATGTATGTGTGGATTAGTCTATAGCGCCCAGGAATGAGAGCTGTTATCATATCTAATTAGCATCACGAACAGCTTAGATACATAAACAGGAAAACCAGGCTGGCGCTGCTATTCCAAGCGGATTAGTCACTGCCTCCTATCTTCCTCACTGCAGGAAGTTTACGTGGTTTGCAACAGCCCACTCCAAAGTCACTGAACGTCTGTGCCCTCCCAGTTGCGTGTCTGGTTGTGGTCCAGCTGTCCTGCGGGAATGCCCAGGAGGTCTTGGGAAAACCCAGGTTCATTGAATCCTGAGCTGGTGAATAACACTGGAATAACCCGGGGTTATTCCACCCTGTGCTGCTGCAGCGACCCGGTGCCAGCGCGGGGCTGGGAGGGGTTGGGGTGATGGAGCTCTGCCTGTGTTGGCTGAGGGATGAGATAACCCCGGGGCTGCCTCCCACTCGCTGTGCTTTCCTCGGGAAGCTGCAGTTTTCCTGCTGACTTGGGGTTTTTTTAATGCCCTGAGGATATTTTTTTAGTTAATGTGAAAATCACAACGAAGCTGGGAGGAGGAGACGCCAGCCACCACAATGGCGTTGTGCTGCAGAGCCTTCCCTTGATGGCTGGAGCCTGCCGGGCATGGGATCAAGAGCTCCTCCAGAAATATGCCTGCTGAATGTAAATAATGGCAGGGGAGCGGCAGAGGCGGGGAAACCTGAGGCACTGCTCCTTTCATGAGCACCTTCCTGCTGCAGGAGGGCAATGAGAGCAGAAAACACGGGCTAAAAGGCTGGGTTTTGCCCCAGATACAGGCAACTCGTCGTATTTTTGCCTGAGAATTTGTCATTAGCTCGCTAAAATAATGGTTATTTCCAAATCAGTTGAGCTAAGAGGCAGAGGAAGCAACAGGTTTTGCCATGGCCAAAAGAGAATGTGATGTGCTCACTCTGTCTTCCCCTCCCCAGGGCAGTGATGCTGAGTGCTGAGGGATCTGGACACCATCAGGGCTTCAGGTGGTGCTCTGATGTCCAGGCTTTGCTGGAGATCACCTTCATCAGCCTGACACTTGTGGTTTGGGCTGCTGTACAGAGCAGTGTGCATTGGGATGCTTTTCCTGCCTGCCTGGGGTTATCGGGCATTGGCAGTGCCTGGGTATCGCCCTGTACCCATCCTGCTGGAGCCTGGCCCAGCCTCACCATGTGGCCGTGGGCACTGGGGGTGACCTCAGGTCCTGTGCAGAGGTGCTCGGTCTCAACCAGGGTTGCTGGGGCTCATCTGGGCACCATTGCTTGGGAGAGCCGTGCCCGCTGCTGGGAGGTCAGCCAGGCTGGGGCAGTGGGAAGATAACGCCTTTGGAGGCATTGCTTCAGCCCACTCTCCACCCAATCCCACTGACCACAAATGATGGGATATCTTTGAGCAGAGGCGAGCTGGAGCGGTGCCTGTGTCTGGTTTCGCAGAATGGAGAAGGCTGATTTGTGCAGTGGGGTTTGTCTCGGGCTGGGGTTTTTTCTTGAAGGGCTGTTTTGGCTTTTTGTGGGTTTTCTTATTTCTCTACTAACACAGAAGTTAGAAACTTGACGTCTTGTTCCTCAGCCCCGTGCAGGAAGTCTGGCTGCTCAGAGAAGCTGTGGCTGCCCCATCCCTGGCAGTGCTCAAGGCCAGGTTGGACACAGGGGCTTGGAGCAAGCTGCTCCAGTGGAAGGGGTCCCTGCCCGTGGCAGGGGTTGGAGCTGGGGGAGCTTTAAGGTCCCTTCAGCCCAAACCAGGCTGGGATCCTGTGATTGCTGTCCAGAATGTCTCTTACTGCTGCAGCAGATCACACTTAAGCACCCTTGCAAAGACACTGGTGTCCCTCATTGCTCCTCTGTGGCTTTCAGTGAGTAACTTGCCTGCCTTGGTGCCAAGGGGACAACTTTCTTCCCAGGCTCCCCTAAAGCATATCCATTCTGCTCTCTGTGCCTGGACCGGCTCGGTTACCAGTTTGGTTTGTTGTGGCCTGACAATTATGTCTGTTTTACTGACTGGGGTAGGAGGATACAGCAGTGCCACTGGGGCTCCAGCCCAGGGTTATCCCTCTGGCTCGTCCAGGAGCTGGCACTATGAAACCTGTACGTGCCTATGGTTTGCTCACATAGCAGATCCCATGCTAACACACGCAGAAGGCACATAGGAGGAAGTTTCTCTTTCTACTCAAGTATTTGTATCTCCTATCACGGTAACATCCCTGTAGCTCCTCAGGCTGTGTCCGCACAGGGTGGTACTGCATGGGAGCGAGGGGACCATGCTGGAGCCGAGCTCCAGGTTCGCTGTGCAGCCTGGAGGTGGCAGCCGTGGCTGGCTCTTCCCTGCTGTTCCATCCGCACAGAAACGGGCTCGTTGTCAGCGGTGCATTTCGGGATGTGCTGTATGTGCAACGTGCGGAGCGGGTCGGAGCTCTGCAGACAGCACCCGGGGAAGCTGCTTGTTAGAGGGGGGGGATTTGTTTTTCTCCTGTGAGGATGATTCAGCACTGCCGAGCTGAAAATCCCGAGCCTAATCTATTACAACATTACTTCCTTTTCCTGTTGTCTGATAGGAGATGTGAAGTGCTGGGTGCTGTGGCACAGGGGTTTGTGAGAGGTCCGAGAAAATCCCCGCCACTGTGTTTGCAAATGGGTTTGATTTTCAGTGTGGGAAGTCAGGAGGATGTTACTGCTTTGTTACAGCAGAATTAGCCCCAGAATGGTGTTCTGTGTCTGGCTGAGATCCATTCCCAGGGCGATGGATTCGGTGTTTTAATGCTCTTTGTTTCTTTTAACTAGTTTGTAGTGTCTGTGCACTGAATTAGATTTGTGATCAGGGTACACAGGGTCGACAGCCAGTGTCTTACAGAATGAGCCTTAGCAGGGGGAGGATCTCAATGGCTGATGGCAAAGGCTTTGTAATTTAGGGTAATCTAGGTCATCACTCTGGACCAGGAGCAAAATGCTTCTAATACCAATTGGTGTTAATGGGAAGAGGAGGGGTTTGGTCTCCTGGTCGTTCATAAGGCAGTAGCTGTGGGTAGCACCATTCCTCATGCAGGGTGCACGGGGAAGCTGGCACTGCACGGGGGAGCTGCGATGCGCAGGCAGGATGTTGGCCTTGCTCCGGGTGCACACTTCAGAGCTGCAGTTCCTATCGCAGGCAGGACATGGTCCCCGCTTCCCATCGCCGGGGCACCCCTCATCCACGGGTGTTATCCACGGGTGTTCCCCAGGGCTGTCACCACTGCTCTGCACAGCACGTGCAATACAGCCTGTACTTGTTCCTCTGCTGGTGTTGCCTTTCCAGTGACCTTTAAAACAAAGCGGTTCCTGGGGTTTTCACAGGCAGGCTGGCAGGGAGCAGATGAAGCTTGTTCCCCCCTCAGCAGCCACGCAGACCCACGCTGGCCCCTGCAGAACGTGCTGGCTGTGGCTGTACCGATGGTGCCTTAAGCTTTACATGGACAAGTGAGATGTTCTGAATGCAGAAACAAGCTTCCCCTTTAGTTGCATCTCTTCTCATCTTCATTTTGGGACCACATCTGGCTGCTGGTGCCTGGAGCAGCACCCCTGGGATCTGGGGTGCTGGCAGCGTGTGGGTCCCTGCTCTGCTCAGGCTGGGACTGCAGTCCCCCTCAGCCCTCCGGACCCTGTTATTAATCCACCCTTCTGCTTCTTCATTCAGCAGTTTAGATTGTCTCAGTATGATAAGCTGCTACAGGAGTTGAAAGTTCTTATCTGTTTCTATTGCTTTCATTATTTGTTTGTTTTTCTGGAAGGAGGAGAAGCTATTGGACTGTCTCATTTTCTCTGTGTTCTTATTCATAGCTCCCTAAAACCAGGCTGTTTTTCATGAGGGCTGAGATATTGAGAACATTCAAATTTCCTGTGTGTCTCGTATGGAAGAAGCTCTTTAATTTTGTAGATTGCAGCATATTGAAAATATACTTTCTTGCAAAGTGTTTGCCATGTTCTACTCTGGCCTCACGCTCCTGCATCTGCTCAGTTTAGAAACAGATTTCTTCTGACCACAAAACATCCCTTTCCCTCCTTTGCATCCCAAGAAGCAGGCAAAGGGGTTTGATGCCTGGAGGATGCAGCATCTAGTAATGCATCAGCAGGTCCTGTCTCTTACTTACCACAGCACTTCATGGTCATGTGTCCTGGATGTCAGGCCCAGGAGGGTGTCCTGCTGTCCCGATGTGACAGGGTTGGTGCTGGCTCAGCCGGGCAGCCCCACCAGGGTAAAGGAGCTTGTGTCACATTGGGCTCGGATGGATGTGAGCCACCTGGGCTCCAGCATCCAGGATCATTTGTCTGTTAGGTGAGGGAACAAAGGGGATACTGTTTATCTCTTGGGAAAGGAAGTCAGAGAAGGGCCTTCCCCGTCTCTACGCTGGGTAATAGAGATATCTGTAATCTAATGAGCACGCTTCTGGAAGCGGTTGGTGGTGAAGGGAAGCCTGTGAAATGAGGCTGGCTGCAGGCAGGAGCCGAGCCCGGCTGCGTGTTGATAGCGCTCCTCGGCTGTGGTTTCAGCGCCAGGATCCTACCTGGCTGTGAAGCACATGGTCCCCCGTGGGCATCGTGCCCATAAATAATGAATGAGGTGTGATGTGTGGGGGGCAGCTTGAATTTATCGCAGCCAGGAAGCCGGTGCAGTGGGTGCCTTGGCGAGTGAACGCAGTGGGAGGAAATGCAGAGCTATTATTTGCAATGTAAAGAGGTTTTTAATTCAGCTTCACAGCCCTTCCCCTTATGCTGTTAAATAAGTTTGACTTTGAAGTGAAGCCCAAAGAGTTGTTATCTGCTCAAAGGCAGAACAAACATTTCCATGTTATCGTCTTCTTGCCCTCTGTGAGAGGGAACCTGGCACAGCAGATACCAGCTTTGTCTCACTAGGACCTCGCCGCTTCCCTGAGAGCCCAGAGTTGTATTTGCCATGAATGAGCAGTTAAAATTCCTTTGTTTTAATGTTTTTTTGGCTAAAGAGACAGAAATCCCAATGTTTCCAGGGCTTTCTGCCTGGGATATCTGTGCCTTCAGCAGCAGCTTGCCTTTAACTCAGACTTAGGCCTGGCTGAACCGGGATGCAGCTGGGACCTCTGGTCACAAAGGAAAAGCCTGCTCCTGCCATGGGGGAAGGATTTGGTGTCAGCCCATGGCCAGTGCTGCTGCAGCTCCGCAGGTACCCGGGCCTGATCATGAGTGTCTTTGTACCTGCACAGCAAGGAGCTTTGTTCAGTGTGCTGAAAACCTTTGGTGCTGGATGTTGAGCGTTTTCAGTCTCAAATGGGTGATGGTTTAAGTGGTTTCCTCTTCCCTTCAAAATGAGTAAACTTCCAAACCACTAAGCTGGTGAGTATTGACTGACTCACCAATGGGATTAGCGGAGATCAAACACATCGTGTCTGGTTTACTTGGACCTGGCCTTGCCGCAAGCCTGAAGGCTCGGCTCCTGCTGGTGAAACAGTGCTAAGCTGTGGTGTGCGTGCTGAAAGCCAGCTCTTGGGTTGGTTGGGTGGGGAGCAGATAGGGAGAAGGGTTAATCCTTGTTCCTCAGGAGCACCAGAACACCAGCCAAGCCCAGCACTATGAGAGTCCCTGTTAATGTGTTCTAACAGAGGATCTGCTCTTATCAGGGAGCAAAGGACTTGCAGAGTGTTGTTGCAGCTCATGTTCTCCTCCTGAATTGCTTTTGGGAAATGCAAGTTAGGAATCACCCCTCTTCCTGGCCTTATCAGTTTTTGCGGATTTAGTACCAAAAAGAACCTACGTGCTCTGTTGAATGATGTCTGCAGGTGGTTGGCAGCTCCTGAGGTTAAACTGCTCTTCCCACCTTGTACCACAGCATCCCAGTGCCCCACGAGCAGTGATCCTGACTCTGTGCTGCCTTTCTGGAGCTGCTGCACTTTGCTGTGGATGGAAAGAGCAGCATCAGAGGTTCTCTGCTGTCCTACGTTCAATGGATGAAACCCCACGAGCATTGCTGCAGAGAGAGCATCAATAACCAAACCATTCCAAGCCACGCAGCACTCTGGCCATGCCTCCATCTCTCCCATTGCCAGGCCTTCTGCCTGCTCTCCTCCTGCAGAAATAGCTGCTGTGCTCTGCTGCTGCATCCCAAATTAGCCTGGGAGGAAGCAGAAGGACCAGACTGAACCAACAGAACAGATCTCGGCTGTTGTGCTGGGACCAGGGGCCAGCAAAATCGGTCCTAGGGCAGGATGCAACTGCCCCTTTGGATGCAGGAGACCTGGATCCAAAGGTGCAAGGCTGAGGATGCGTAGGGCCAGCTGGGCTTTTTGTGTGTGAATGTGCTGGCTGCAAGATGAGTTCAGGGTGTTGAGGATGGAAAGCCCTGCAGCCATGTGAGGTGCAGTGAATGGTCAGCCCACGATGCTCCTCATGGGAGTGCAGCATTGGCATTCACCCTCTGCAGCATGTTCCTCTCTTGTGCAAACACACAGCCACACCTGGGGTTGTGCAAATACTCTCCACCGTGTTAAATCCATCCTGACCTTGGTGGCCATGCTTATCACAGCTGGATAATGGAGTTTTAACTCCTTGTGTGGAAAGGGCAGTCCAGGAATGAACTTAGGGTCCACTTGTGGGAGGTGGAAGAGGTGTGAGTCCCAGGGTGAGGGTTGCGCTGATGTCCCCTGGTTCCCTGTGCTTTGTTTGCTGGCACTTGGGCCTGTTCTTCCCCCTTCTCATTAAAACAAATGAGCAGCTGGATTTACAGTGGAGCTCATGGGCTGCGTGTGACAGCAGCGGGTGGCAGGACCAGTGGTGCAGGAGCGAGCACCCTGCAGCACCCCAGGCATCCTCACAGTGATTCCCCTACTAGGCTGCGGGCAGGGGTACGTGGACCAGGATCTCATCACTGCCATTACTGCAAGTGACATCAGCATATGGATGTGGTCAGGGAAGTGGACACAGCCATGCTGGCAGGAATGTGTTGGGATTGAAATTCTTCATGCAGCATAAGGTGTCCCCCCAAGGCTGGTGCTCACTGTGGTGGTGGGACGTGGTGTTTGGGATGTGTGTGTCCCCTTGCTTGCTTGGTTACCTTCCTTGCCTTCTCCTGCCATTGCCTGGATGTGCTTAAGTCCAAGTGCAGGTGAGCTGCGTGGCTGAAAGCCAGAGGAAGCTTTTGGCATCCAGTTCTCTGACTCTAAACCCACTGAGAATGTGTCGCTGTTGGATGTATCCTCTGCTCATTCGTCCTGGCCAGGACCTGCAGGGACACCCTGGAGTGGTCAGGCTGGGCTCAGCCGTGTCCTGCTGGGGCTTGGCAAGGAAGGAGCTTGTCCTCTTTCTCTCATGGGAGCTGTATCTTTGCCGTGTGTGTTTTCCATCCCACAGTCTGTTCACAGCATCCCCTTTGTCTCCGCAGGCCCGGCGTGATCACCATGCAGGCGCTTTCGGAGGAGGACCGGCGGCTGTGGATGGAGGCGATGGATGGCCGGGAGCCGGTGAGCATTAACAGCAGCGAAACCCCAGCCTTGGAGAAGAGCGTGGAGAGCTCTCTGCAGCCTGGGGCAGGTGCTGGCTGCCAGCTGGTACGGGAGCTGGATCCGTGGGGCAGCTCGCCCTCCTGCCAACAGAATAGTTTAATCCCTTGGTTAAATATTTGAGGTAATGCTGTATCTCCTGTGCTTGGATCGCTTGGAGGTGCGGTGGGAAGGAGGAGGGTAGGCTTGGCCAGCACAAACACGCTGCTGTGCTGTGCTGAAAGGAAAACACGGCAGAAGGAGCCGTGGAAGAAAGGATGCTGTACATTACCAGGGATGCTTTTTTGCGTCCTGGTGGCTGCTTTGGGGTCTGGTGGAGAATCCCAGGTTTCATGTGAGGTTCCCTGTGCTCAGCCATAGCCTCCTCGCTGCCATGCTTGCTCCTGCCGTGGCAGAGCTGCATGGGCTGCCTCGCCTTCAGAAGGGGTTATGGGGTTGTCAGAGAGCTCAGTTGGGTTTTTACTCGTTAATGGGTTTGCAGCCCTCACTGCCGGGCTCCGGGAGCTGTGGCTGGTTCTGAATGTGTTCCCTTCGTGGTACCATCCTGCCTGGCTCTCCAGCAAGGAATGGGAAACACAGCACAGCTGGGCAGCCTCTGTATGCAGAGCGAGAGCAGACTGCGGGCCCCAGCACCTCGGGCTGGCCAGGAGCATAGCAGGATACGAAAGGAAGCTCTGTGGAGAGCTGGAGCAGCCAGGGCTGCTGTGGGACAGCCCCAAGGTGCCTGTGAGTGCTGCTGGGCTTGAGTCAGGCGCTGGCAGTCAGAGGAGAGTCCATGTGGGGAGCAGGGAGTCCCAGTCCCACAGAGCGCGAATGGTTTGGGCAGATCCCCCCCAGATCCATGGAAAAGGTTCTTGTTTGTTGGGAAAAAGCGTTCATTAAAGCCAGGTGAGCTGTGGCTACCCGTGGGCTGTTCACTGAGTGCTGGAAAGCACACGTTGGGCTCAGTGGAGCAACTTGCTTTTGAAACGGGCAGTGATTTAGAGGTCAGGAGGGCTCTGTGTGTGTGTTTGAGGGTGTGTGTGAGGTAAAGGGTTTCATTGTGGATGCTGGGAATCATAGATCCATTGGGTAATTCAGGTAGAATGGGACCTCAGGATGCTTCTTGTCCAGCCTCCTGCTCAGAGCAGGTTGCTTGGGTGTTATCCGGTTGAGTGCAGTGAGCATCTGAGGGAGGAGGGTGCACAGCTTCCCTGGGACTGCTTCGCCGTCCTTCTGATCCCCAGTCTGAACCTCTCCTGTTTCATTTCACACCTACTGTCTCTTGTCCTCCCGCTGTGCACTCTGTGAGGGGCCTGGCTCTGTTTTTCCAGTGCCTTGGGAAGGGTTCTGGCAGGTCCCCAGAAGCTTTCCCTTCTCCAAGCTGATTCTGGTGGCACCTGGAGACAGGCTCGTGTTTGAGTTTCTTCAGAAACAAAGCGCCTGTCCTTGCTCCCAGTCCGAATCAAGCCTTGTCCTCCTTCAGCTCCCCTACTTCCCACTGCTGGGAGCTGGTGCTGGAGGATGCGAAACGCGGTCACCGGCACTGGGGCTGTGTGAATCCATCCATCCATCCATCCATCCCTCCATCCATCCATCCATCCATCCATCCATCCATCCAGGCGCAGTTTGATGTGCTGATGTTCCCAGGCTCTGGCACAACGGCAGAGCCAGTCTGTTGGGGTTGGGTTGCAGAAGGGCAGCCAGGGATTTTGCGTGCTGTGAAGTGCTGTGCGTGTGAAAGGTCCTGTGGAGCAACCAGTGCAGGACTGCCTGGATTATCCTGTTTGAGAATCTGGTTATGTGAACTCCTTCAAACGCACAGCTCTCCGTGCTGACACCTGCGGATTTCTCCTCTTCCCTATCATGCCCATCAGCTTAGGGTAGCTTGCTCATCCAGCACATCAAGGGTTGTTGCTGTGCATTAATGCAATACCTCATGGCATTTAAATGCTCATGGTGTTTAAACCCGGCCTTCCAGGTGTGGTGCAGGAGCCATGGGAATGGAGCCTGTATGGAAATGGATCCCAGAGGCATTTCACTGGTGAAGATGGTGCGTGTTGACAGACAGGATAACTCCCAGTCCTCAGTTCCCCTCCTCGATCCAGCACAAGTGCAGCTGTTGGTCTGTTCTCTTTGGGTTCTTCTCTTGCAACACCAGGGTGTGGGGTGTTACCTACTCCACAGAGAATTCCTTGAGCAAGAGACAAGGATTTAACCTTTGGACTCTTAGAAATACCCGTTCTGTGCTTTGACTGTATTTCTGTAACCAAGAAACCCCTACTGGAAAGAATGTCTGGTTTTCCTTTGATTTTTGAGTATTGAGTCGTGGAAAAGATCAGCGTAGTGGGGACAGCAATTCCATATGCAAATTCAGGCTGTGGAGAGATTAAAGTGGACTGGAGTTTGTTTCTTAATTATAATTAAAAGATTAAAACCAAATGTTGAATTACATTTGAGCAAGATCTAAACATAGAATGTGGGCTGCATTAGCCAAGACATTTGTCACAACTTGAAAAGATTTATTATGCATCTCGCAGTCAGAGCAGCCTCCAGATAGCTATCATCAGTCTGTTAACTCTTACCACTTGGTATTAATTTGGCTAAACCCCCTGTGTTGACTTTGGGGTTTATTTTATGTTACAGAGGCTGGGAACAGGAGAAACGACCTCCGTCACAGAGCGGTTGTGTTTGGGTTTGTTCGGGTACTCAGGATAAGTACCCGATGGCTTTTCTCCTCTGGTGATGCAGTTTGTAACTGGTTTGTGGCGGAGAGCAGCATGATTCTGAACCTGAGTCAAGCATAAAGCTGTGCTGGCCCATGGTGGTGGCTGTGGTGGGCTATGGGGTTGGCAAAGGTGTCAATGAGGCTGCTTTGGGGCAAAGAACTGCAGCGAATGAGCGTTCCGGTGAGGCTGTGGCTGTGCCAAGGCTGCAGCCCCGTGCCAGCCAAGAGAGGTGTCGGTGTCAGTGTTCCTGGGGTACCTTCCACGCAGGTCGGGGAGCTTGGCAATCACTCCCACATCACGAGGGCACAAGTGGGTGCTGGGTTTGAAGTGTTTGGGATGTGAAAACGCTTCTCTAGGAGAGTGAGCCTCACAGTGTGAGGGTGCAGAGAGGGTTAAGGATATGAAACGTGTCAGATCACATCCTTATTGAGCTGTATTAACCCATTGTCCATAATCTTGAGTGTTGATGGAGAAGTCAGTGTTAATGGCTGTGATCCTGTCGGAGGAAATAAGACATGGATGGGATCTGAGCAGTGCTGTTCTGGCATGGGCTTCGTGCTGCCCTTTGCTCCATTTGGTTTGGGTTTTGTTCTTTAAAGCAGTACAAGTCTATAAAGACACAGTTAATGCTGTGCAGCCGAGTGCAGCGCAGGCTGGAGGAGCCGCTGGTCTCACACCTTTGAGGGAGGGAGGAAGGAAGGGCTGTGAAATGGAGACACAGCAGCAGCGCTTTCTGCTTTCCTCCTGCTCCTCTTGCTTCTCTTCAGCTCTTTCATGTGCTCTGAAAGTTTGCAAAGGCGAGATCAAAGTGCAGAGTCCCTTGTGTGCTTCAGGAAGCTCAGGCTGGTGCTGGAGGGAAAGGCAGCATGGCAGGAGCTGGTGGGTTTTGTCCTAGCACCTCCCAGGGGCTGGACCTGTTGTACTGGAAGAGCCTGATCCTCTTGGCTTAGCCCTTGTGTGATGAAGCTCCATCATCTGGCAAGCAAATGAGGCTCCTGCTCCCCCTCTGGGAGGCAAATCCCAGCCCTCACCGCTCTGATGTCTGGAAACTTTCCCAGGGCTTCCCACTCTGGTTTAGTGGCGTTGGCTGCTCCACGTGAGGCCATGGGGCTGCGTGGCCATGGACCCCCATGAGCTGGGAACAGAGCCGAGTGGTGCTGTGGACCTGCACAAGGACTCAGAGCCTTCCCATGGTGGTGCCAGGTTTGGTCCTGCCCCATCCTGCAGGGCTCCTGCTTGCAGGCAGCAGGAGCTGGGAGCAATCGCACGTTCCTGGTGGGTGTGAATGTTGGCCGCCCTGCCATAGGGTGATGCTGTATCCCATGTGTCGAGGTCGGGCTCATCTTGCTCATCCCAGCACCGTGGGCAGCACAAAATGGAGCGGGGCAGTGTGAGGACAGACCCCGTGGCCGCTCTCCACTAGATGGCAAGCTGAGACCAGCCTGCTCGGTGCACTTGTGTCCCGATGGGGCTCGGACCCCCCCTTGCACCCCAGGGCTCTGTGGGGGCTGCGGCTGCCCTTGGCCACTTGCCTGGGGGGATGTGGGTCTAGGGGAGTGATATATTCCCCCCCCCCGAGCTGGGCTGCTGGTGCCTGCAGCCTGAACCAGGGCTGTTTGTGCTGCACGGGGTGGGAAACGCTCACTTCCCAGTTTTGTCCCCCAAATCTGGCACAGCCCAAAATTAGAGCCACTTCCCTGCTCTGTGCCTCTGTCTTCCTTCTCCTCCTCATAATGTGGGAGCAGGCAGTGTTGAACTATGGTAAATTGAGGGAGGGAGCTCCTCCAGCTCCAAGCCCTGCCACGGGCAGGGACCCCTTCCACTGGAGCAGCTTGCTCCAAGCCCCTGTGTCCAGCCTGGCCTTGAGCACTGCCAGGGATGGGGCAGCCACTGTGTGGTGGTGCTGGAGCTCACTCCACACGGCTGCTCTGGAGATGAGGTGCTGTGTTCCTGCAGCAACCCCCGGCATCGCAGCCCAGCCCAGCCTCGCATTCCTGCCGGCGCGCAGCACCCTCGCCTCCCGCCTCCTCCTCACATATTGCTTCTGGGAATTCTTTCTAAAATTGTTTTTCATTTTCCTTGTCTAATTATACAGAATGGTGAGAGATTTATTTCCCGGTGGAAATGATGGCTTTTGAACTCAATCCAGTCCTTTCAACCTCGGCATTCCTCTCGTTTTGGCTCAGTCACAAGATAACTTGAAGGACTTCAGTCCTGGCCCCGTGCTGCCACAGGGGGATGGTTGGGCACGAG